AAAAAAAAAAAAACTACAGTAGTCAAAAACAATATGGTACTGGCATAAAAAAATAGATTGATGCAACACAAGAGAGTGCTCCAAAATAAACCCGTGCTTATATGGTCAATTAATATACAAAAAAGGAGCCCAGAATACACAGTGGGGAAAGGACAGTCTCTTCAATAAATGATGTTGGGAAAACTGGAGAGCCACATGCAAAGGAATGAAACTGCACTTTCTTACACCATACCAAAAAACCAACTGAAAATGGATTAAAGACTTGAACATAAGACCTGAAACCATACAATTCCCATAAGAAAACATAGTCTGTAAGCTCCCTGACATCATCTTGACAATGATTTTTTGGATCTGACACTAAAAATAACGATGACAAAAGAAAAATAAACAAGTGGGACTACATCAAATTGAAAAGCTCCTGCACATCAAAGGAAACCATCAACCAAATAATCACATGACATCCTACAAAAATGAGAGAAAATATTTGCAAATCATCTTTCTGATAAGGGGTTAATAATATCCAAAATATATAAAGAACTCACACAACTCAACAGGAAAAAAGCAATCCTACTAAAAAACAGGCAGAGGATCTCAACAGACTATTTTCCTAAAGAAGATGGCCAACAGGTCCATGAAAAGTTGCTCAACATCACTATCATTAGGGAAATCAAATCCACAATAAGATATCACCTAACACCTGTTAGAATGGCTATCTCAGAGACAAGAAATAACAAGTGTTGGCAAGGATGTGGAACAAAAGGGAATGTAAATTGGTATAACTTGATGGGAATGTAAACTGGTATAACTACTCTAGAAAACAGTATGGAGGTTCTTCAAAAAATTAAAAATAGAGAATTACTTTATGATCCAGCATTTCCACTTTAGAGTGTTTACCCAAAGAAAACAAAAACACTAACTTGAAAAGATATGCAACACCATGTTCAGTGCAGCATTATTTACAATAGCCAAGATATGGAAACAACCTAAGTGTCCACTGACAAATGAATGGCTAAAGAAAATACATATATTCTTTATATACATAATGCAATATTATTCAGCCATGAGAATGAAGGAAATCCTGCAATTTGTCACAGCTGGATGTACCTAGAAGGCATTATGCAAAATAAGTCAGACAGAAAAACAAAAATACTTTGTGCTCTCACTTATATGTGGAATCTAACAAAACAGAACAGAACAATGATAGATACAGGTAATGGACTGGTGGTTGCAGGGGTGGCGGGGGGCGAAACAGGTGAAGATGGTCAAGGTAAAGAGGTACATACTTCCAGTTATATAACAAGTTCTGGGATGTAATGTATAGCACATGATTGCAGTTAATAATACCATATTGTATACCAAAGTTGCTAAGAGAGTAAATCTTAAAAGTCCTCACCACAAGAAAGAAAAATTTTAACTGTGTGTGGTGATGGATGTTAACAAGATTTATTGTGATGATCATTTCATGATATATACATATATCAGATATGTTGTACGCCCACAATATAATGTTAATAAAATAAAAGACTTATTGTGGTGATCATTTCATGATATATACATATATCAGATATGTTGTATGCCCACAATATAATGTTAATAAAATAAAAGACTTATTGTGGTGATCATTTCATGATATATACATATATCAGATATGTTGTATACCCAGAATTAATATAATGTTAAACAGACCTCAATAAAATAAATAAATGCAACCTCTTAACAACAAAAAATTAAAAAGACTATCCAGAACAAAAAGGCAACCCAGAGTATGGAAGAAATATTTGCAAATCATGTATCTGAGATCAATATATCCAGAATATATAGAGAACCCCTACCTAAAATTCAACAACAAAAAAAACCAAACAACCTAATTCAAAATGGGCAAAGGACTTAAGTAGACAATTCTCCAAAGAAGATATACAGATGGCCAAGGAGTACACGAAAAGATGCTCAACATCACTAAACATTAGAAAAATGCAAATCAAAATTACAATGGGATACCACCTCACACCCACTGGGATGGCTACTATCAATAAAACAGAGGGGCACCTCGGTGGCTCAGTCAGTTAAGCGACTGCTTCTTGATTTTGGCTCAGGTCATGATCTCAGAGTCCCGCCTTGGGCTCTGCACTGGGCGTGGAGCCTGCTAAGATTCTCTCTCTGCCCCTCTCTTTGCTCTCTTAAAAAGAAAAAAAAAAGGGACGACTGGGTGGCTCAGTTGTTAAGCATCTGCCTTTGGCTCAGGTCATGATCCCAGGGTCCTGGGATCGAGCCCCGCATCGGGCTCCCTGCTC